TTCTAAGCTGAGCTATACCAATCTGGAGCTTGTAGATCTATCCCAATGGTGGTATTCCATGGAACTTAATTATATGGCTGAAAGGCAAGGTATCAGTCACAGGTGGTGAGAAGACTAAACAAAAATCGTTAAGCCAAGTGAGTCTAGTGAGGATCTACAAGATTAAATCAGAATTCAAGCAAGGATGCCAGTTCCACAGGTGGTGAAAATGATAGTGTGACACTACATTAGTAGCATCTTCTGAGGATCAGCGATAATAGTAACTGGAATACTGGAATTAGTCTCTATAATAATATTCCATAATAACTTGCTCTCTGCAATAATGAACTAGTAGGTTGTAGGTGGGTTTAAACTAGTGGTAGGATTCTCCCCCCTGCGAAAGTCCCACCTGACATGTAAACACATCCCCGAGGTGTTTAAATGGATGCATAGTTGGGTAATAGTGGTTAGTATAGCTAGTCTTATAGTAATATATATGCACTAGGCAGTATTAATCTATAGATTAACTGTAGAGACATAAAAGGATATTCTGTATCAACCGATTTCTGATTAATTTGTAAAGACACTTGGTGTCTGTCTGGATATATAAACATATCAATAAAGATCATGCACCATGCACACGTTCCATTATAAAAAAAAAATAATAATAAATAACTCTAAAATAATTATCAATATGAATACTGATATATGTATAAAGCTTGTAGCTAAACAGGAATTGTATTTTGTTTAATATTCATATCTTTAGATTTGATAATATATATTAATTAAGATCTTTAAAGTATCTACTAAAAAATTTAGAAGTCATATTTTACTTAATTATCTAACTTCAGATATAATAAATTGTATTAACTAAAGGATTTTTAAAGTATTTATTAAAAAGTATTAAATAAGACTATAAATATTATTATTGCATGAACTGGAAATATAAAATAATAAAGAATTTAAGAGCACTGTGGACTATCGCTAATGTTCCTCCATATCTTCTTGGTGTTATTGTTGGTTTGATTTTATCGGATGCCCACATTCAACTTCAAAAACGTTCCATTAATAGTACGACTTAACTGAATTAGATTACTTAATTAGAGTAAAATCTCTAAGTTCACGTTCATTACTTATCAACTATTTGGATAACTATCCACTATTGAGTAGCAAATACTTGGACTACTTAGACTGGCGTATTGCCCACGGCCTAGTTGGTTCCAAACCGAGAGGCGACCGGACTACCCTAGTAGTGTAGGGGCGGACCGGTCCACGGGACCATTATTCCACCCCTAGCCACTCGCTCGAGGCGAATTACCCACGTACCACGTGGCCTTGCCTCGCCAGACGTACACCATGTCTAGAGTGTGGCGAGTCCGCGTATGCGGATTATTCGTCATAGAGCCCGGGGTAGCCGGGTCTCCCCGTAGGGACACCTTCCGCCAGCCGGTTGCTGCCCTTTGGGCAGAGCTACTTAACTAATAGAGCTTAAAAACTCTATAAATACTAAATGTACTGAATTTGACTGGAGCCATTTAGACAAATATTAATTTACTGAATCTTAGTACCCACTTTACCCTATAATTCTTTATAACCCCTCACAAGTTTACTGATCTGAACACTATGCTTTATTTTTTATTTGACAGGGTGAACAGTTAAAGATAAGCTATCCTATTGCCGAAAGGCAATTATCATTAAACTCTACTCGATGCGAGAAACTCTTCTATTCATGAATAACTACCTATTCAACTTTTCTTTGAACCCGAGCGACCAGACTAATCCAGAGGCGACCCCCGTGGCTCATAACGCATATGCGGCTGGTGACCGGAATTCCACACCTCACGGTGTACTCCGGTCATACCACAAATACAGTAAACCTGTAGTGTCAGGTGGCCGGATTGATCCGAAGGCTCGTTATTCCGGCCACCGGGTGGAGCGCACCGGAAGGTGCGCAATTCCGCCCAGCTTAGGTCATCTAGATCACCGCAAGCTCTCAGCCTGACACAAAACTTAGCTAGCATATTCTATCTTTACTCTTTAAAAATTAAGGTTAGATAGTTTAAAATTGGTGGCAGGATTTCTATACTCTTTAAAAATTATGATTAGATAGTTTAAAACTGATAACAAGATTTTTATACTTTTAAATTTTTATTAATATATGGATCTATTTATTTATTTATTTTTTTTTTTTTCGGGTAAAAGATGCTTTGTGCATATGCATTTTATTGAGTAATTTATGTCCAATATGGATCTATTTATAAAATGTAAGTTAATATATTTAATTCATTAATTGTGTTAATTCAATTAGCAATAGTTATTAAACTATTTATATATAGAAAATGTAATCTATAATAATTAATAAAATATATGTACATAGTACAATTAGCATTATTAAAAAAATTTTTAATTAATTTATTTTTATAAATATAATTGTTAAAATAAGATTATTTGAAAATTAATAAAAAAATTATAACTTAAACTATTTGAAAAAATAATATAAAAAATAATAAACAATATTAATTATAATTAAAGTTCAATTAAATTAATTTTATATCTTTAAGTAAAAATAAAATAAGTTTAATTTGAAGTTAGTAATAGACTTATTAAAATAATATCAACAATATATAATATACAGTATATATTGTTATAGGGAAAAATGATGGATAGATGATAGAAAATTATAAGGATAAGTATATCAGGTATAAATGGTATATTAGGTATAAATGATATATTAGGTATAAGTGGTATATCAGATATAAGTAATATATCAGGTATAATAGATATAAAGTAAATATATATATAAGTAACCTGAAAATGATCAAAAAAGTGAAGGAATCAGAATAGGTACTGCACAACTGTTAAATAAAAACCATTTTTATTTGATAAACTATTGCTTTGTGATTGACCCCAGTGTCACATAGCTAATGGAATTGCTGCGCATGAAGTAACTATTGAAGATGCAAGATTGATAGACTGATCTGCATCAGCGTTACGAACTTTGGCTAAATTCATATATCTCTTTTAAGCAGAAACCATCCTGATCATTACATGGCATAAGACAGATCGAAGCAACTAATTCACTATGATTTCACTATAACAATATACAGAGAGACCTCCCTAAATGCACCCTTTATAAATATACTTACTATATTTTCTCTCTTTAAATACACAGTCAAGCTTGGTTCCAAGTACATGGAACTCTTAATAAAATTATCTCCATAAATGCATATCTTCTATAAATGCATATTTTTCAAAAAATTTTCTATGGTCCCAAGGGGTGTATATTTAGAGAGGATTTACTGTATATATATTAATATAAAAAAATCTTATTACTTTATTAATAATAAAATTATTTAAACTTTATATAAGGAAAGCAATAATATTTCTTATATAATTTAACAAACTAATAAGTCTAATGCTAGTTTACTTATATACAATTATCTAAATAGTAAAAAAAACAAATATTAAAACTAGGACTCCTAACGATACCACTTCGATACCATTTCGATACCAGTTCGATACTTAAATTTATTATAAAAACATATGAGTAGGT